GGATGTGGTGGTGGATTGTTAAAAAAAGGCAACTCACAGATCACATCTCTCTGTGTCTGTCCCCTCTCTTAGTGTTTCTCTGCAGTTTGCTTCAGTCTGTTTCTCCCCCGGAATATCTGTTGTTCTGTGCCCTGCATTGGCAATAGATGCAGAAGTGGTGTCTGGGACGTCGGAGGCTTGGTCTGGAGGTCCCTAGGCTGCGCTGCTGTCAGAGGGGAGCCTGGCGGCTTGGGAGGAAGCCAGCCGTCCTGCTGGGGGGCGCCGTCTGGCTGGTAGCTCCTGGCCACCATGACTCTGGAGAACTTGTCATGGGTGTGTAACTGAGGCACAGAATCTCACATTTGTAGCAGTTTTATTAAGATTTTATTTATTCACAAGAGACACACAGAGAGAGGCAGACACAGGCAGGGGGAGAAGCAGGCTCCCTATGGGGAGCCCGATGCAGGACTTGATCCCAGGACCCCGGGATCACGACCTGAGCCAAAGGCAGACACTCAACCACTGAGCCACCCAGGTGCTCCTTTCTGTTTTCTTTACCCTCATAGACACAGGCTGTCATAGGTCCTGGCCCGAATTTCATGTGGCCCTCTCCCCGGAGGCTCTGGCTGCGCAGACGGGGACTGGGAAGGCTGGGCCATAGCTGTTGGCCCTACTCCTCTCTGGAAGCACTGGGTTCTCTGCCTCCACTCCCCTTTGCCCTGAGGTGCCGACTCCATGTCCTGGACATTTCTCTGGGTTCCTTGGTTATGCGGAATTGACACTCCTTGCCCCTGCCTGGCTTCACGGCCCCGATACTGCATTAATTACTCTGCTGGATCAAAGTGGGCCTGTGAATTATAATGAAAGGGATCATTATACCTGGGAAGGATTTTTCCTGACCATCCTCATGCTGTATTTCCAAATGTCCTTCAGATGACCTCTGCATCACTTTGTAAGTCTGTGCTGTTTTGGTAAAGATGTGTAGCTGGGGGACAGATGGGAGATGATAATGTCTCTCACCTGACCAGGTAAATAAACACTAGATGTGGACTCAGATGATCTGGGACACACACACGGCTGATTACATAGCCCAGGGTAGGAGATGACTGGGAAAATTTTGAATTTTGTCCATTCAAAGATGTATACGTTTTTTCTGCATTGCATTTTGTGTGAATAAAATATTCAATAGATCTCAGCTTCCTTGTGGACTGCAAATGACAAGAAGTGTGTGGAATGAATGAAAAAAAAAAAAAGAAGTGTGTGGAATGAATAAATAAATGAGAACCTCGTGGTTGAATCTAAAAGCTACTGTTTAGGGCCACATCAAAGCTACCCTGAGTGTTGGCAGTGTCTCGCTTTGTCCCATCCATTTCCTCTACTGAGGTCCAAGTGGTACTTCTAAGATTTAAAATTTTATCTCTAATTGTAGAATTGAAGACTGGTGGCATGTTGAAGAGTTAGGGGAAGATGGTCTTGGTGAAATCAAGCAAGAGAATAGGGCAGGAGGCGATGCTGACATTTATGGAACATTTCCCTGTGGCAACAAGTGTCACTCGCATTGTTTTGTGTGATTCTCACAACATTGTGTGGGAGGTGCAACTAGTTCCTGGCCTTGCTGATGAAAAAGCAGAGGCACAGGGTGTTTAAGTAACATCGTCAAGCTTTTTTGTTTTGTCTTGTTTTGTTTTTTGTTCATTTTTTATTTAAGTTCAGTTTTCCAAAAAAAAAAAAAAAAAAAACCAAACCAATTTTAAAGAAAATACAATTTGCTAACATACAGTATAACACCCAGTGCTGATCCCATCAAGCGCCCTCCTTACTGCCCGTCACCCAGTTACCCCATCCCTCTGCCCACCTCCCCTTCTGCAATCCTTTGTTTGTTTCCCAGAGTTAGGAGTCTCTCCTGGTTTGTCTCCTCTCTAGCTTATGCAACTTTTAAAGCACTGTCCATGGTCCAATCTAGAGCTGACCTCTCCACATCGACCCCGGTAGGTTTCCTGACTTGCTTACTGATAAGAAATATTTACAGTGCTTATTGAAAATATAAGTTCCCAAGACCCGAATCTAGAACTTACTAAATCATGATATCCACAAGGGAGGTCTTGGATCCTGTATCTTTACAGAGACACCCTGGATGATTGGTGTTTTGAAGTAAGTTTGAAGAACACTAACGGCACTATATGTTCCTGGTAGGTCTCCCATTATTAAAATGATCGGTTAGAGCGTCAATATGTCACTTATCCATGGAAGAGATTTAGATGCCTTAAACTACTGAATAATTTTCTTCATAAAAATTCCTAGAAACCAGAGTTCCTATTAGTTTGTGATTGTAAGAGAAACAGGAACTGCATTTAAATAGAATAAATGGAAGAGTACTATGGTAACATTTTATTCCTTAAGGAGTAGATACAAGGTGAATACTATTTGTAAAAGAAACAAAAACATTTACTGATTTGTTAAAAAGGTTCTTTTAAAAAGAGCTATAAATGGTTTGAATTCCAATTAATGTTTCATAACATAAAACGGTGGTTAATCTCTAAAAGGAAAACATTAAGGCTAATTGGATTTTTAAATCTGAAAAGCCCATAGGGGAAGCCTTTTCTTGATTAAAAATTTTAGCTCATTTTACAGCATTCATTTTGGTCAGGGTTAGGGAAGGGTAATTAACTTAGCCTGGAAGATTCACTAACATGAGAGCAAAATCAGGCTACAGAAGCCTTGGACTTGGAGGAAATGCAAAATTTATCAGGTGCAGTGCAGTGGAATCTGACACTAAAAATACTAGAATGATCTGTTTCATATTAATACCTACATCCTATTTTAAGATGGGCCCCACATAGCCTGGGTGGCTCAGTGGTTTAGCGCCGCCTTCAGCCCAGTGCCTGATCCTGGGGACCTGGGATCGAGTCCCACGTCAGGCTCCTGGCATGGAGCCTGCTTCTCCCTCTGCCTGTGTCTCTGCCTCTCTCTCTCTCTCTCTCTCTCTCCTCTCTCTCTGTGTGTCTCTCATGAATAAATAAATAAAATCTTAAAAAAAAAGATGGGCCCCACAGATTTCTTAAGTTTTTTTCATGAATATTATTGAGTTCGCTTTCTTGGGTCTAGTGTTATTAAGCTTTGTGGAAGTCTTTAAAATTGCAAAATTTAACAAGTGCAAACAAATTTTTTTCCTGGAAACATGGGTTTTATACAAGTATGTAAAAACACGGCCTGCAGTTTTAATTAACTGAGCCTCATTAAGCAGATTGGCTTGGTGCCACATTGCCTAAAAATCCAGTTATTTTGTAGTTTCAAAAACTTCAAAACACTTTATAAACATTATTTTGACTACAGTCATAGTGAAAGTAGTATTACTTTTTAGGATTATTACTTTTTCTATAAAATATACATATAAGTCAATAAAAATCTGTATATTGGCTAAACTACTATAAGTAGTTTTTGACAGAGTATGTAGTGTATTTCATGTTGTACGTGCATGTGAGCCTGTAGCAGAGCAGTAATTCCCGGTGATTGGAAAGGGGAAGAACTGCTAGTTTAAATGTTCTCTGCAATTTATTTTCTCTAAGTATGGAAATTGAATTTTGTCACTAAGGGGACTTTCTCTCTCTCTTTTTTTCTCTTATAGGGGGGTGGGGAGGGCAGATTCTGACAGGTTTAGAATTTGAGGAAAGAACTGCAAATGGCAGGAGCGCATCAGACTGGGGTTGTTAACCATACTGTTTCTTGATGAAAGGGCAAAGCTTCCATCAAGGGGGCCCTTTGAGTATTAACGTGTTACCAAGAGAGGAGACCTCCTATTTGAGGGCAGCAAACCCAATACCTGGTAGCAGGCTAATTCCCTAGTGATACCTTTATGTGTTTGCTTGTTTCCTTCTTCCTTCCTTCCTTCCTTCCTTCCTTCCTTCCTTCCTTCCTTCCTTCCTCCTCCTCCCTCCCTCCCTCCCTCCCTCCCTTCTTTTCTTTTTGAGAGAGCAAGCAAGCAAGTTGGGGTGCAGTGTGGTGGAGGGGCAGAGGCAGAGGGAGAAGGAGAGAGAGAATCTTAAGCACTCAATGCCTGCTCTGAGCCTGCCCCAAGGTGGGTCTCTATCCTAGGACCCTGAGTTCATGACCTGAGCTAAAATCAAGAGTCAGATGTTTAACTGACTGAGCCACCCAGGCGCTCCTACCTTTATGTTTCTAATCAGCTTTGTTAAATCTTCTGTCTAGGGGTTAAAGAGAAGAAGGGAATGAATCCAGGTTTGAGGGCAAAGCAAAATGCAGAAGCTGGAGGCAAATGGAGAATTGGCAATAAGACAGTGTCTGAACCAATGATTAACAAGAAAGTGCAGAGAGCCTTGGAAATTCAGAGAAGGCAGCTGGCTTTACACAGTCCTGTGGGATAGGGACAGAGTTGGGTTTTCAAGTGTTGGGGTTTCTGAGGAGGAACTGTTTCCACCCAGATCTGGGAGCCACAAGGTCAAGGTCATTAGTAAGCCACAGATCAGCACACAGGAAAGCCAGAGACATGATGGAAAATGGGCCTGTGCACAAAGAGGAAAAATACAGGAATTGGGACTGAGAGATCTGTGCAATGTAAACACATAAACAATCTTTTCACAGCACCATTTAGTCTCTCGGGCTTTGGAGCCCTTCACTAGCTTCCCCCAGGCATCTGGGCTCATGAGCTGAGGGTGGGTGGGAGACTTGCTCCTCAGAAGGTGGCTGGTGCTCGTGTGCCTCGTGCCCAAGGTGGCAGGAGTGGCCACGTGCTCAGCCCTGTCCATCTAGCTGGCTTCTGCTGCTGTCCTCTGTGACTCACAGACTTCTAGTCTGCTTTCTAAAGTCTAGCTGGCATTCTGTTCTCTCAGACGGGGATGTCCACCTTGAAGCACATGCAGGACCCATTCTCACAACTACAGAGGCCCCTGTGACACCCACCTCGCAAGCTTCTACCACCACCTCTGTACACCCGAGACTTGTTAGAGCACTCAGGGCCTTTGGGGAAGGGGGGCAGCAAGAAAATGAGAACCTTGGCATCCACTCATATCTACTACGTTTATTTCCAGTAAGAATAAATACACACAGAATGTGTTCTTTTCTGAGATACATTTTAATAAATTATCATTTTATAGGATTGAAATGTTTCACTACATGTTAATATGGTTCACATGGACCTGCAAAAATTCTGATTATATTTCTTACAGCATTTGGCAAAAGCCCACATTCCATTAGCAGGGAAATGAAGAAAATTATTTGTGTATGCATAGTCCAGTAGCTTGGGGGCATTATCTCCCCAAGTGTGGAAAATATTGCTGAGACTATTATGCTTTAATGGTGAATGAAAGTGGGTCGCATGCCCAACAAGGAAATTTTCAGTCAGTGTCATATATGATTACCTTTGAAAGGAAACATAGAGTTAGATATTATAATTAAAATTAATTGAGAACAAATACTCCCTAAGCACTAAAAAATTAGGTGTATAAATGACTTTCAATCTATAATTTTACTTTCAAGAACCAATTGTACATATATTATGCAAACTATTCATGTTTTCCAGAGATGGGCAGTACACTGTGTAATGCAATCTCAGTCTCAACAAGTGCTTCATTATTAACTTTCCCATATATTAATAAAAACTGCAGTTGTGTAAATTATATAAATTTCTTCAGACTCTGAACATGACAAAAATATCAATTACCAAAAAACCATACATTAATAAATAACTAAGTACAATGTGATAACATTCTAAAATGTAAAATCCTGAATTAGATTAAAACAATTTCCTTTGTACATGAACATAGGTTGCAAAATGTACAGTTATAATGGATCTATTCAGTAACAACATAATTGTAACCAACCTATTTTGTTTCACATAGTGGCTCAACAGAATATCAGTTTACTGGATGTCTTACTGTGTGCAGGCACTATGCTAATTGCTAGGTCCAGAAATGATGAATATATTGTCCTTATTCCTAAGAGCTTCCAATTTAATGAGGAAGACAGACATGTAAAGAAATATTTACACTACATGTGATACTCAGAGAACTATGAGTTATTTCAGCAAGCTTGTTACCCTTGGAACCAATAGCATAATTTGTTGCAGATAGTTAGACAGCTATGTGTAGGGAATGTTGTCAAAGTTAATGGGATGAATAAAGCTTCCTGGCTCACAGCATTATTTAACAATGGCATTATTTCGTGGAAATAGCATGCTCTATCCCATCAGACTAACAGCATAGGTGAAGCTCCAAACTTAGATGTTACTACCACTTACAGTAGCTAGTTTGTATTGATTTGGGAGCAAACTGTCCTCCCATTAACCACGAAGGATGTGACTGCTCTGGTTTCTTTTATATACTTTTGAAGGTCTTTATTTGGAGTGCTTTTAAGAGTCTGAAAATCCTATCTAATGACAAATGATTGACTTAAGACTTAAAAATTTAGCTTTAGAATTCCCCTCCCAGAAAATGTGTGTTTGTAGTTATGCTGATGGGGGGTGGGGGACAGGTAAAGGAGAGAGATCCAGCAAGGCTATAGCTCAGCTTGGATTTATGAGAACTAGAGAGGTGGTTCAGGGAATAAAATGCCTGAATTATCGAGAGCTGGTCATACTCAACTTAAGAGGTGAGAGAATTAGGATAGATTTTGAGGCACCCGTACAAGGAAAGGCATGTAACCCCAGCCATTGTGGCAGGTTTTAAAGTGCTAAGCATCTGAACGAGAAGGAATAAGACAACTTGATTTTAGAGAAAGGGGAGACATGCTACTGTTTGAAATACCTGTAGAGACAGCTCCTGAGGACCAGGGGCTGGAAGTTTTGCCAGGAGGCAGCAGTGCTTTCAGTGTGAGCAGTAATAGAACTTTTCAAAAATGAAGGCATTGAACTCTTTCTTCCTGAAAGAACTGAATTAGAAATTGAATTTAAAAAAATCAACTGTCAGAGTGAATCATGTTGTCAGAGTATTGTGGAGTTAGAGGGGGTTTCTCCAGCATGTCAGAAGCTGTATTGGATTCCAAGGATATTTTTAAGTTTGAATATGAGTCTAAGATTTAGAAGAGTTATCTTTTGATAAGTGTGTAATAGTATCATCCTGTGATTATATTCCCTGTCTAGATGAAATTTGATTAAGCATCATAGTGCCATCAAACAATTTATAAACATATCTAGGTTTTTAAGATATAAAGATATTATTTTAAATCATATAATCTTTAACTAGAATCACTACATTTAACTATATAGTAACATTTGCAGCAAAATAGGAACTAATTCAGGAGAAAATTTTAGGTGCTGGTCTTTCAGTTTCTATTCTCTATGAAACAAATGTGCACCTGCGGTAGAGGGGAGGAAGAATGACTACTTGCAGTGCACTAGAAATGTCAGCACCATTTACAGATTTTTCCTGAGTGATGAAAAAAACAAACAAAAAAACAAATGAAGAACAGATTACAAATTCCCTTTGATAAGACTGCTCCTAAACTGCTCCTAAACTTGGTAAGACTCAAGTCCTATTGAAACCTTGAGTATGCAGAGCCAATGAAATCAAGTTACTTAGAAGCCAAAATGCTAAATTAATCAGAGGAGGAAGTCATCAGTTTGTAGGTCAGAAAACTAGTCAGATTGAAATGTGTAAAGAGAATGTAGAAATCTTTGGTTGTATACTGCTGTGTAGGAACTGACCATCTGCCACATGGCACATTTGAAGACTTGTCTTATTCTAAATATGGCTTTGGAAAGTGGAGTAAAGTGATTTATGTTGAGTGGAAATCTGCCTCCCTATAAATTCCAGCCTTTGTGTTGAGTTGACCTCTGGGGCTGCCCAGAAGACATTTTTGAGTCATTTTCAATTCTACATATAAAAGAATTTTCAAACACTGGATCCAATGAAACAGAGAATGAAGATCTAAAAGTAACACTACATTTTCAACAGTCCATCTAATCATTACATTGTATTTACTGCTTCCAAATCTCAGACTGTATATACATGCTTCTCTCTCTGAGTCTGATTTTCTCAACTGTGCCCCTTGAGCTCAGTACACTATACATGTTCGGTTGCTCTTGGTGTCTGGAGAAAAACAGAATCGTGTTGCAGGATGTGGTCACTCTCAAATTACATTCTAACTTTCAAGGGTAGCACGATGGAATACTGCTCTGATAAAGACTTCTTTTCCACCCAGAACCCAAGTTGAGTTTAACGGGAAAGCAGTTAATTTTCATTATGTAAATATTCTTCATACTGCTCAGTCTCACTGGCAGTAGATGAATAAAAGGTGCTCCACATTTTAAATCAAGTTTGCAGATCACTCCAGGAGTATTCATTAACTTTGAATTGATCTCATATAAATGTTGAATTTGTTTTCATATATAATAATGCCATATACCTACCTTCAATTTTAGAATATGTTACAATATTAGAATTTTTTGCATGCATAATCCAAATGTAATGGAGCAAGACAAATAAAGGATTTAGAAATGTTGAACAGAATTTTTCCACAAGAATGAAAGGAATCTGGGTAATTAGCACAATTATTTTGTCTCTTAGAATGCAACACTGGCTGAAGGATGATAATGAATGAGAGTAGACTATAAAGAAGAAGAAAAAAGACTCCGGGAAGAGGCCATAGATAAAGGGATGTGTTATTTTCTCTTACCTAACTTTACAGACAGGATTACAACTCTTTCTGGAGATACTGAGAATAAACTTGAGAGATCAGAGACTTGCCTGTCAGAGATCCATAATGAGGGTGAGGCCAGAATGACAGACATGGTTCTTGGACATGGAGCCAGGGATCGGCAAGTTCATAAAGATGTAACTGGTTCAGTCTCTGAGCATGCGTGCATGTGGCTGGGTTCCTCGAGGATTTGGAACAGAGAGAACCATTTTTCAATATGTCAGACAGAAAATGGAAGTGCTACCTTTATAAGAAGATGCAAAATTAGATAGAATTAGATCAGTTATTAATTGAACCAAGCCCAGCAGAGACCGCTGGGGAGCCAAGGATAAAGAGCAGTAGAAGAGTTTGGGTTTTTATGACTGGACAGAGTACTTTTCTTGCCGATACAACTACAAAGAGCACTCAGTTGCCGATGTAAAAGAATGGCAGTAAGAGAAAAAATGATTAACAAGTAAACTGCAGCAATTGTAGAAAAGAGGCAGAAAGCCTTGTGTGTTAGAAAATACATTAAATCAAATGCAGAGGGAGCTACCTAGGCCTTGTTCTAGAAATATTACCATGAATCAATGGCCAATGAGAAGACTGGTGGACATCAAATAGAATAATGAAACAAGATTAGGAAGGGATTCTGTTTCAGCTTAGTTTCTCCTTTCTGGAAGAGATTAACAATTCCTAGAGTCAGTAATTAAAACAATACTTATTTTAAACATACTTTAATTATTTATATATGCTTAAATTGACAGTTCAGTAAATGCACAGATAGGTCACTCACTGTGTTATGGTCTTTCTTAAATATTTGTTTCCAAAGCCACAAATATATACACAAAGCCTTCATTAATTTTTTTTTCTTGCACACACACACACACACACACACACACACACAGGAAAGGGCAGAGCCAATTTAGGAAGGCAGGCCACCGGTTCTATAGAATACTTTTTATGCAACTGTCATCTGATTAGGGATAGTCCCTGATTTTGGAATTGCATGATAATGCAGTCTAATATCCTGTTCTATTTTGAAAAATATATATATATTTGAAGCATACAGTTGCATAAATCTATCTGGTATAGTAAAAGGACCTTTATTTAGGTATATTTTCACTTTTAAAACCTAATATGGTTATATCTTTTAAACTTAGGGAAAAAAACCCATATTCTCTTGCAACACAGAATCATCCTAGCTGAGAAGAAGGATGATTAATATCTTTCTTTGTTTGGGTTAAAGAGGATTAAGCATCTAAACAGATATAGCAGGTTGTGAATATGATCACCAAAAGCCCAGTCATTTAAAAAAAATTTAGAAAGTAATTCACTATGACTAATTTACATAAGTAGTAAACACAGTGCTTTACAGATGGTATATATCATCAAAGAAAATTAGATACAGTACTAATTTAAATGCTGAAATTTCTTATTGCAACTCAAATTTGGACATTTAAAAATTTAAGAAATGCAACATAATGATACCCTTATCTAGAAGTCAGAAATCCTACATCCTCAATAATGTTGGAAGCTGGCAAGGATACAGATAAAGTATTTTAGGACTACCATCTCCAAATCCAAGAACTTCACTCAGTGGGTTACGTATTAAGAAATACTCAAATCAAGTGTAACTCAGAACTAATAATTAAATCATCAATGTTAATTTACTGAACTTGAGCTAAAAAATAAGAAAGATATGATACTGCTAGAAATTTGAAACCAACTAGTACTGAGAACTAATAGAATAAGCAATTTTAAAAGCATTTCAGTAATTGCTGATGGCATTATGGCATTATAAAATGGTACATTATGCCCTTAATGAAGAGTTGAATCATAAAAAAAAGTCAAGCCCCGTGCCTCGTGTTTAGTGTATAGTTTAGAAGGCTGGGGAAATACCCTGCATTTTAGAAAAGTTTACTTGACCCAAAAAAAAAAAAAAAAAAAAAAAACGGTGAAAAGAAGCTAATCCACGATCAGTAAGGATAGGAATTCAGCAACACTCACACTTGTAGTAACGGAACAAGCTTCTTACCTTTTTCTAATTTAATTTTCACTTCATCTAATATAGTGTGCAAATAATTCATTTTCACTACCTAAAGAGATTTTTCCCATCTAAACAGTACAAATCTGTGAACATTGATTTGTTCTTACTAGTCTTTCATGGATAAAGTATTCCAAAAATCAAGACATCAAAGCCTATGAGTTTTATTTACATATGAAAATACTAAGTATTCTGGATTCTCCAAGATTAAATTATACTCGATATAATTTTTGGTAAATGTATTTTGTATTTTAAGTTCCTGCCAATGCTAAGTCATATATGCTGTACATTCATAGTGATTCTCTAACAGAAGGTACATTTTATTTTACTAAGAGGCAAAGACCTTGTTACCACCTATTAAGGTTAACAGATTTATAGTAGGCTTCTACAACTGGAATAGTTTTAGAATGTCTAAGCACATACTCCTCTCAGAAATGATTAGAAAACCATGGGTCTCTGTATTTATTAAACTGAATCACCTGGCAGTAAAATTCAGTTAAGGCTCTTGGCATTGGTGAGACTTCTTCCCACTCAGATCTGCTGCTGTGGTAGACTTGCACTTCATCTGTGATTTCGTCTGGTGCGTAGTCACCACCCAAGATATAAATTTTGTCTTCAATTCCAACTGCGCCTGCATTAAAGCCTGCACACTCAAAGGAGCCCTCACCCTTCCAGACACAAGTATCTGGACAAAAACTATACACCTTATAGGTGGAAAGGTCACATATATACAGCGTGCAGTTTACTGGGACAGCTTTAATTAACGTTGCGTGAAAAAACTGCCCGAACTCTGCTACTAGTTCAGACCACTGATCAGTGGTCGCGTTGTATTTAAAAAAGCAATCTAGTGATGGGTTAAAGGCATCTGTAATCTCTACCTCTGATCCAAGAACATAAATTACATTCTGGCATGCACTTGCTTCGGGATAGTATATACCCCTGGGTAATGGGCTAACGGATATCCATTCTTTGGAAAGAGGGTTGTAAGATTCAACATCTAAGAGACTTCTAATGTCCTGTGCGCCTCTGGTCTTTCCACCTATGACAAATAACCTATTGAGAGCCAAAACTGATGTATGCATGGTTCTTGGTGTCTTCATAGGTGATACCAGGAAGAAATCATTTTTAACTGGACAGTAGCACCAGGTTTGATCGGTTGCATCATGATAGGATTCTGCAATATGCAGCCGAACTGTTCTACAGCACGGCCCTTTGCAACCACCTGTCAGGAATATTTTCTCTCCGTAACTAGACAGACTAGACCCTGGCAAATCAATCAGGTGTGACTGTGGCAGTACTTTCCACGAATCACTGTTGATATTATAGCAAAATGTATATTGGTCTCCTCCATTTTCCTCAGTTTTGTGAACAAATATGTATTTTTCAGTTGTGGATGGTCGAGCGTCCGGGAAAAGCCCACCAGAACCTTGCACACACTTAACAGCATCCACGATCACATCAAAACAGTTTGTGCTTTTGAGTAAACACTCCTCATTGAGCAGACAGTCCCGAAGGGTCTCCTCAGATAACTGATGTAATCGGACCTTTTTAATCAAATAAGGCAGATGCTTTTGCCTTGATTCTAAGTTATGTTTGGTCCAACTAAGGACAACTTTCAGTACAGTTTCCTCTTCTGGGACATTTAGCTCATCTGATTCCAGGCATTTCTGCAGGACTCCAAAGTTCATCTCTAAGAAATCACTGGATTTAAATAGTAAGGAAAAGTGGTTCTGTACAAAGTACAGTGCATGATCGAATAAGCGGGGGGAGCCATAGCTGTCTGATATAGATAGTAACTGTAAACAGTTGACAAGGTTAATACTTTTTATTAAGAAGTCACTGCAAGCTTTGGCTAGGAAGGAAACTTGAAGAAATGAGGACAACTGGAAGAACATTTCCACATTATCATCCGTTATCTGTGTTTTCCCAGTATAGGCGTAGTCAAGGAACGCCTTCACGGCTTTGGAGGACAGGTTAGTGATGGTGACGCTCCCACCGTCTCTCTCTCTCATGTTTACCTCAAACATAGCCCTGCAACAATAAAGAGCACACAACAAGTGGGAATATGCCATCCGTGCTAGTATTCAACATTACCTGACAGATGCTTCCTTGACCGTCCGCTTGAATTAAAATATGTATTTCACACATCAAGTTTATATTTCTGAAACATATTTTTAAAGCATCTTCATAGGTTGTTTTAATATCTAGAGTAGTTGTATGCCATGTGGTTTACCGTAAAGACATAGATACTACAGAACTCCCATATTGCAGAATACGTATGCTACAGCTGGGGTAGTGCACCTCATCCAAAGAAGGCTATGAAAAGATTCACATTTTGTAAACAGATTTCATGCTCTTAAATATTACTCATAAAATTAGGGTGAGATCTCTCTAATGCCTGAATTTCTTGTTTTATGAATTAATTAGTATCAACTCTGCAGATGATAACTAGAAGTACTTAAAATACGCTTCTGGGTTTAGGATTTAAAAGTATCTTTCAAAGTGATGCTCAGTGTGGCGGCAGTGAGACACGTGGGAGGTGGAATACCATGAGGTATCAGATATCTCCAAGGAACCTGTGTGGGAAATCCCAACAAACTAGATAAATTTAAATACATGTGTAAAGACATTTCATACAGCACTTTAGGAAAAAAGAGAATGTGATTTCACAAGGCTAAGTGCCAAGCCATAAGGCTAAAAATGAGTTAGGTCCCCAGATTGGAAATTAGACCGGCCTGAGAGCTCTTCTGAGCTGTAATTCATCTCCACCTGGCAGAGCGGTAGAATCTGAGGAAGCGGGGACTTTGGGGGCTCAGTTTAAGTGAAAATATAAGGTATTTGGAAATGTCTGGCCAGGAGACTATGATGTATTTTGCTATTGGTTTTGGTAGACCTGATCTTGCCACCCATCCTTATCTTAACTTCATATGCAGAATATTCATTGTTACACAGACTCACCAGGGCGGCTATCAGTGGTGTAGCGAGTGGAGGTGGAGATTAGAGAGAAAGAGCTACAAGGAAGGATGGACTGCCAGTACTTGATCATCTGGTACGACTGAGGACCATGGGTCTGGGTTCTGGTTTCATACTGGTTTGCACCTATACCACGTCGCCCAGGACACTTTTGTGAGCAGTGCCCCTGGGTCCTCAAGAATCTATGAGGAACCAGTGTAGCTCTTGGAGTGTGTTCTAGAAGGTAACCTAAGCGATTCCAAAAGCACTAGCATCCAACTGAGAAGAATGAGTGGCCTTCCAAATAAGAAAAGCCTCCAGGACAAGGAAGGATGACAGAGCGCCTTCCCACTAGGCTCTTCTGAATACACAAATGAATCGTTACACAAATTCCATATGTGTTATACATTACGCACGGTCTTTCAATAATGTCAACTTAGCAGTATGAAACTGTGATGATAATTATGGTGGATTATGAAGACATGGTCATCAGTTTAGTGTACTTAAGAGCCTGGCCTCTAGCATCTGGCTGCCTTGGTGGGTATCTGGCTTCTGTCGCTTATTAGCTGTGTGACCTTGGCGGGGAGGGTGGACTTCACTGTGCTTCAAATTCTTCATCTGAAAAGGGGAATACTTTGGTATCTATTTCACTGAGCTTTCAGAGGAATACATGAGTTGATCAGTGCTATTAGCTATTATCATTATTTTAAGAAAATGTTTTCTATCCGATCCTATGTATTTTTAATTTATCACCAGCTTCCACATTTTCCTTGAGAGGATACAAGTAAGATCATATTTCTATACTACATCCTGTTCACCTTTAAAGTATCCAATTAACACTGATCTCAAATTTACATTATCATGAAGTGATTGTACAATATGTGTTTCCTTTTCTGTCTTCTGTCCATGACTTTATATCTCATTTATAACTTTCATTTTCCAAAATCATTTTAAAGTACCCTTATCCTCCCAGGACTCCAGTGAATTTGATAATACAAATTCTATGAATTAGGGGCTTTATCACATAAGAGTGTAAATTATAGAATTTCTGTCTTTATTTGTACATATTTTATATGAACTGTGTATTCCTTTAGTAAAATACTATATATAATAATGGATGTAGGTCATTATAAAACTGCCATTTGTGTTACTTCAAAGCAGGAGAAAATTGTAAAACTGTATTGTTCTGTTTTAACAGTAATCTTTAAAAATTTAAAGCAGATCCATAAAAGTTAGGAGTCAGCTGAACAAAATATTGTGGAAGTTATGTACAGACCCATTTAATTAATAAATTAATACTTCTACATGAAGAGTAGAGGGCTGCCAATCCAAATGCTTACATGAACTTATTTTTTAACATAAAAACATAATACAGAAATCAACTTAGGTGTTTGCACCAGATTATGTCCATTTTTTTTTGCCAGGTTTGGAAATAACAATAATAATAGCATTTAGTGTCAGTTGAATATAGTGGGCATGGTCCTGATCAGTATATATACACTATTTCATTTAACTCTTATAATGACTCTGTGAGTTAGGTTCTAATTTATCATCTTAATTTTTATGAATAAGGAACCTGAAGGCCTAAAGAAATTAAGTCACTTGCTTAAGGTCACATCTGATAAGAGGCAACAGGCCAAGTCCTTAACCATTACAGGACCCAGCCCACGTGGCATAAAGAGTGGCAGGAGAGTGGGGGAGCAGAAGGGAGCTGCTGGGAAAAAACTGGTGGAACTATGGTGTGGCCGAGCACAGGACGGTGGGGCGTTACCCAAGAGAGGACATGAAGAAAACAAAGAAAGAACTAGCGTCTGTGTTGGCAAAGGTGTAGCTTCTGTGTCCCCAGTGAGGTGGGATGTGGCACTGAGCCACGGCTCCCCACTCAAGTAGGATGCCCCACAGGAACAGGATTTCAATTGATAGTGGATATCGATTTGCTTTTGCTGGTTCTCTTCAGAGCAACAGGGGTCTAACCAGATGCAGGGAGCAACACAGGAGTTTAATTAAGGATTAAAGTCAGTATAAGGTAACTTGCATATAGTGTATTTATATCTTAAATCTTACTTTGTTTTTATAAATTTTATTTACTAGATATTTAAATCCTGCTTACCTTAAATAAAAATTGTTTCTAAAACTGAACATAATGCAAATACTGCAATTAGGATCACAATTTTTGCAGTGTCAGGATGACACTAGGAGGGATGAAGGCCAGGATGTCACCAAGACGTTTGTGTGTCTGACCAAGAGGCCTCACAGGACGGTATGAGCTTGATCCAGTTACCTTAGTACTAAGGTCATGTGGGGAACACTTACCCTTGCAGAATTAGAAGCCCACTGTCACCACAGTGGGTTCTTACAGTGTCATGACTAGGACACTCCTAAAGGATGATCTACAAGAGGAACCAAGTTATATTCAGGTTGCCTAGAATCAGAACAAGTTGGGTGTTCTCCAGAAATGCTTCTGGAGTACTTTTCACCTATAAGAATGTCTTTGTCAAAGAGAGGAGAAACCTTGAAATCCTCTGTAGTGAGTCCTTCTCCCTTGTATAACCTACAGATACATGACTGAACTTGGTTTTCTCAGACTCATTTTCTTTGAACTATACTTTCAACTATACTTCCATTTTTCATCTATCTGTCTTCTCCTCTTTTTCTGAATACAGTGCAAGAAGTCCCCCAAACAAACTGACTCTAGATCGAAACAATTTTTTTCCAGAACATTTCAAGGGACCAGTGTTCCATACAACCTTAGGAATGCTGACCTGGGAATATCTGAACTATTAAAAAAGGTAGTCTTAAATTTTCATATTCAAAAATCACTAGTTAATCTAATTACCTTTTAAGAATTAAAAATTACTGTTGCATGCTCCTGTAGGGAAGAAATTCAGTAGTTATGAAAAATAATAATGCAAAATCTGAGGCAGAGACAAACATGGTAAAGTACCTGAAAAAGTCACTGCACGCTGCTAAGACACAGCGATGACATGGGATTATTTCATCTTTCATGATGATTTCGAAATCATAAAAGACATTTTGTTCTCTAAAATTCTGCAGTACGCTTAAGATTTTCTGTCCATGATCTTCGGACACAAGGAAGTTGTTTTTCTTCTCAGATGGAAGTCCATTACATGAGTTTTGTTGATTGAAATGATATGAATTATCCATAGCCAATTCCCTTTGTTCTTAGAACTGGAATGGAAAAGAAAAATCACTGCTGTGGTTAGTCCTGATGAAATTTCAGATCCCAAGTTTGCTTAGTGTAAAAACAATCATAACATAGTAAACCTTGTTCTAAACATTTGTTTTCATGACATTTAATAATAAATTTCTTTTGAATTTTTATAAATACTGAGTTTACTAAAATAAAAAGTATATCAAGTTGAAGGAAAAAGTTCAAGGCTACAAAATTGTGTCAAATAGCACAATTTATAAGTTGTATGTATAGCTCACATAGGATCTTATTACATGACTCATTTGTTACATTTAAGAGGTATTATTTGCAAAGTAGTTATCACATGGTTGTATACCCGACACATCCTTGTCCCTTCCCATCCATTTACTTCCAGCAGCAAAGCAGATGTCAAAATACTAATCTTGAAGCCTAGATATATGTACGCCTTCTGAGGTTCAACTTTTTAGAGATAAATGACCAAAAAAGGCCAGAATGTTGGACTGTATTTAGTTATGGCCTTTAGTAAGGAAGAAAAGTGAAATATTGGTTCCAGTTGGCTTACCTGAATGCCTTTTATTTCTTTTTCTTGTCTGACTGCTGTGGCTAGGACTTCCTATACTATGTGGAATCAAACGGTGAGAGTGGACATCCTTGTCTTGTTCCTGACCTTAGAAAGTTCTCCATTTTCCCCCATTTAGGATGATATTAGCTCCATGTTTTTCATATATGGCCTTTATTATGTGAAAATATGTTCCTCTAAACCTATTTTGTTGAGGGTTTTTATTTTTACCATGACTGGGTGTTGAACTTTGTCAAATGCTTTTTCTACTGTTGATCATCTATTGAGATGATCATATGGTTCTTATTCTTTCTCTTATTGATGTGATATATCATGTTGATTGATTTGCAAATACTGAACCACCCTGGCAACTCAGGAATAAATCTCCCTTGATCGTGGTGAATTCAGAATGTATTTCTGAATTTGGCTTGATAGTATTTTATTGATAAATTTTGCACCTATGGGGGATCCCTGGGTGGCGCAGTGGTTTGGCGCCTGCCTTTGGCCCAGGGCGCGATCCTGGAGACCCGGGATCGAGTCCCACGTCGGGCTCCCGGTGCATGGAGCCTGCTTCTCCCTCTGCCTGTGTCTCTGCCTCTCTCTCTCATGCTCTGTGTCTCTCATGAATAAATAAATAAAATCTTTAAAAAAAAAAAAAATTTTGCACCTATGTTCATCAGGAATATTGGCCTGTAGTTCTCTTTTAGTGGACTTTTTATCTGGTTTTGGTATCAGGGTAATGTTGGCCTGAAAGAATGAACTTGGAAGTTTTCCTTCCTTTTCTATTTTTTGGAAGAGTTTGAGGCATTAACTCTTCTTTAAATGTTTGGTAGAATTCATCTGTGAAGCCTTCTGGTCCTGGACTTTTGTTTATTGGGAGTTTCTTGATTATTGGCTCAATTTCTTTACTAGGTCTGTTCAAGTTTCCCATTTCTTCCTGTTTCAGTTTTGGTAATTTATATGTTTCTAGGAATTTATCCATTTCTTCTAGGTTGTCCAATTTTTTGCATAGATGTCATTAAAATTCGCTTATGATTGTTTATATTTCTGTGGTGTTTGTTATTATTTCTCCCCTCTCATTTGTGATTTTATTTGAGGCCTTTCTCCCTCTTTCTCTCTTTTTTTAACCAAGTTGGCCTATTTGAAAGCAGGACACAGAACAGCGTAGCTTTATTTTAAAAGGACTTTTATATTTTTAAAATATTTTATTTATTTACTAGAGAAAGAGAGAGAGAGAGAGAGAGAGAGAGAGAGAGAGCGAGCAGCAGGGGGAGCAGGAGGGAAAAGCAGGCTTCCTGCTGAGCAGTGAGTCCAACATGGGGCTCGATCCCAGGACCTTGGGATCATGAAAGGGCAGACACTTAACTGACTGAGCCACCGAGGCCCCTTTAGAAAGGTCTCTTAAATATGAGATCAGAAATCCAAGATAGTTGAAGGCCAGATCATTGTGACTTTCCCAAATTCAGTTTTATGCATACAACTTTACCTCACCAAAAAGCAAGGAAGTGGGAAACAAAAAGGAAAAGACTGGGAACTAAGGGAACCAGAGAAATAAGGAAACTCAATTCCCTTAGTATGTTCTTATTTTGGTTATCTATTGCTTTGCAAATTACGCAAAAACTTAGTGGCTTATGACAACAATTTTTATCTCTAATGGTTCTATGGGTTTAGCTGGAGCTTCTTGCTTGGGGGGCTTTCATATACTTAGAGTCAGATGGCAGCTCTGGCTGGAGTTGTCTGAAGGCCTGACTAGGCTACAGGTCCAATATGATTCCTTTTTTTCACATTTCTGATGCTTCAAATGGGATGGCTAAAACAGATGGGTCTCTGTGTGTGTGTGTGTGTGTCTCAATGCAGTCTCTTTCCATGTGGCTAGCTTATACTTCCTCACAGCATGGCAGTCTCAGGGTGGCTGGACTTCTTATATGATAGCTTGGTTCTCCCAGAGGGAGTGTTTCAAGTCCAAGTGGAAGCTATATACTGGAGAAGTAGTCTGAATGGTTTACAGCATCAGTTAAAGTTCTAGTCTAGGACTGAAACCATCTGCTGTATTGTCCAATACAGTAATCATGAGCTATGTATCGCTATTCAAATTTATCTTATCTAAGATTAAATTAAACTAAAAATTAAGTTCTTTGGTTGCTCTAGCTATATTTTAAGCAATCAGAAGCCATATGTAGTGCGATGGTTACTTTTATGTGTCAACATGACTGGGCCATAGAAGGCCCAGATACATGGCTAAGCATTGTTTCTGGGGGTGTCTGTGAGAGTGTTTGTGGCTGAGATTAACATTTGAAGTAACAGACTAAATAAAGTAGACTGCCTTCTCTAATGTGAATGGGACTCATCAAATCCTTTGAAAGCTGGAACAGAACACAAGGCCAAGTAAGAAAGAATTCTTTCTCTCTGCCAGATTGTCTTCAGCAGAGAAGCTGAAATTTTCTATTTTCTTAACTTGGTTTGAGTACTTTTCTATATGTAGATTTTATTTAGTCATAATTATTACAAGTGCTATCAAAGAGAAAGGGTGCTGGAAGTTTTACGAAGGGGATAAGGAAACTCAATCCACAAGATACCTGAGGCCACTGAAATGGATAAAGATCAATCAAGGGAAAGAAAATTAGTAAAGAGGAGGGCCAAAGACGGAATACCGAGGGTAACTAACCTTAAGGGATAGACCATTTAGTTGAACAATTATTTGTGTATGACCTGCTTCCTACAAGGTGATAGTCTAGATGAACTGAAAATATAGTGGAAAGTATGATTTGCAGAAGACACAGGTAAAGTTCTATGGCTAAGGAAGAACTCGCAAAGAACAGGGATAGAAATGGAGGAAAAGTTGGAGAGGCAGTAGAGAGCAAAGAGAATTTCATGTAGGAAGTAGTTACACATCATCTAAAGCTGAGGAAAAGTTAGGTAAGGTGAGGACTGAAAAGATATCACTGATGATTTGGGGGTGGGATGAAGAGAGGCCACATTACATGATGGACACAATCTGTATACATTATTTTTTAAAGAAATTGGGGACTAGAGGAGTAGGTGTATTCTAGGAAATTCCATTTTCTTTTGTTTGAGATGGAAAAATCTGGGCATGTTAATACAATGAGGAGAAAGTGACACAACGGAGGTGAATTTTGATAGAAGATTACAACAGTAAATTTAACATCTATGTCTGTGTTACAAAGCAAATCTTTCTGGGCCTTTAAACCAATAAATCAGAGAACAACACTGTATGGTAAAAACCTCCATTTCTGTTAACAGCTAAACATTGATAGGGGAATAAATGGTGAGAGACTCTTTAACTTTTATATTTCCACCCCACATGATGTCAGTGGAGACCATACGGGAGCAGTAACTATGATCTCCTCTCTTCCTAGCCAGTGTTATCAGAAGATGTGGCAGGGGGCTGAACTCCCAACTCTGTCCAGCAGTAAAAGGAACCACCCTGTCTCAGGTGTGTCCACAGAGGTGAGGTAGAAACTCTGGACTGCCATCCCAACCCAACAGTAATGAGGTGACGGTTTGAACCCAACAGAGCACTGTAAAAAAAAAGACCCACTAAAACACAAGATTTAAATAAGATGTAGTCTTATAATACCTAATATATCCCAACCAGGTACATATCAAGCTGAAAGAGAAAAGACAATGGACCCCAACACAGATGACACAGATGTCAGAATTATCTACCAAGAATTTTAAAGCAGCCTTCACAGGGATGCCACAATGAGCAATTACAAAGTCTGTGTGATATCAATTATTTTTAGTCATTTAAGGTTTGTTTTGTGCATCAGGATATGGTTACTCTTGGTAGATGTCCCATGGCATTTGAAAGTAATGTGTGTTGTTTTGTTAGGTGGAGTTTTCTATAAATATTGATTAGATTCTGTTGATTGATGATAATTGAGTTCGGTGTCATTTCTTGCTATCCTCTTGTTCTATTAATTTAAGACAGAGAAGTTTGAAGTCTCCAGCTGTAACAGCACATATATCTACTTTTCTTATTAGTTCTATCAGTTTTTGCTTCACATATTTTGCAGCTCTGTTTTGTATCTAGACAATTAGGTTTGCTATGACTTTTAGGTGGGTTAACATGTAATATTCCTCTCTGTCCATTATAATTTTCCATCACTTTGTCTAGTATTAATATAACCTTGCTTATTTCCTTTTAATTAATACTTATATAGTATATATATTTTCACCCTTGACCTTCAACTTACTTATATCATTGTATTTGAAGTGAGTGACTTATAGGAAATGTATAAAGTTGGATCGTTTTTTAAAAATCTATTCTGCTAATCTCTTTTAATTGGCATGTATAAACCATTTATATTTAGTGCAATTACTGATAAATTAATACTTAGTTCTGCTTTTTGGTTGTTTTCTCTGATTTCTCTGTTTCTAATTTATTTTCTTCTTCTTTCTGCCTTCCTGTGGGTTACTAAATCTTTTTTAGAATTC